GTATATATAAATATTTATAAACTTTATTTCAAATGCTGAATGTGCCTAGCATTCTAAGCAATAAAAATGAAATCTATAAAATTAAAATTTCAATTATTTACACATACATATGTATATGCACATATCTACATTAATTTATTGCCTAAAATATTTCTGTGAAAATCTTAAATAAATAATATGATTTTGTTTATTAAATTTCTAGCTTAGATTTGCAGCCAAAATTTGTCACTTTAAATTGGTTTTTCAGGAATTCCACTTGAAATTTTCAATCCCAATTTTTGTCTGTCAACAAAATTTGATTTTTGTATTTCACAAAAAAGAAAAAAACACATCTTGGTCAAAATAATTTTGTCGTTGCTCTACCTTGTTTGCTTGCACCCAATATTGATTTAAATGGCCTTTCGTCGGTCTCTCAGTAAAGTATGCAACATTTATTAGCCAGTCCGGCTTTTATATTAAATATCGGGCCTAATTGCTTTAACTGAAATTCAGTTCAGTTCACTCTCGCATGCACAGAGAGTTGTGCATGCCGGCACGCCTCTCACCTCTCACCTCTCGCCTCTGGCATTTCGTGCGCCACAAGAATTCATAATTATTGCATTCAGGGAATGTAATTAAAATATTTCAGCATCAACTGACCTGGACGTACGTAGCCTAATTGATTTTGCTTAAATTCTGGGGGCTGTGGCTAGACAAAGTCCTTTACAGCTCCGGCACTTGCCTTAAATTGTAGTCCAACGGCATCTGCTCAATTGCCGAGTGGATGCTGTTAATTCGCGAATTACGCAAAGAACTGCCGGCCGGGCCAAGAGTGGGTCGGGGTGGGGCGAGGGAGGGCGAGGTAGGGCGAGCTTGTTGTTTGCTCGAAATTTTCGCAATTTAACGCTTCAATGTTGAGCGTTGTTGAGTGCAACAGAGGCAAGTCGAGGCGAGTGGCGAGTGGCGAGAGGCGAGTCAAGTGAGCGCTAACCATTTAGTCGATTGCATTAGCAAAAGCCCAAAGCTGAATTGTTTTGAGGCGTGATGCGGGCATGGAGCACGCTGCGTTTCAAAACCCGGCGATATCAAACATCATTGTTGTTTCGCTGTTTTGCAACATGGTCGAATACCATGATTCCACTGCAGCCCAACCCTCACACACACACACACTCTCACACACATACACATGCACATATTTTACCTTCCATTTATCCTTCCGGTCTGCTGGTGCAGCTGCTCCTGCTGTGCTGCATTGCTGCATTGCCCGGCCTTTGCTTATTCGCTTTTGTATGTCTCATCCATTTAGCTGCGGGCAGGAGACGCGCGTCATTCCGCGCATTCTGCAGCTGCGCTCGCACTGGCTGAAGTCCGAAAAGGAATCGCTGCGCCTGCAGGAGGCGGGCATCACCAAGGAGGTCATGAACAGTGCCATCGCGCAATTCTGCTTGGAAATCATTGCGAAGCATGGTGAACCGGCGCCGCGCTTATGTAACAAGGATCCGCTGACTCTCAAAATGGGCTCCTATGTAATCGAGCTATTTCCCAATGTAAGCACATGCCACACCCCCTCACATATACACACACACAGAGAGAGAGAGAGAGCTGTAACTTGATTTACAGTATTTGTTTGTATTTCCCTCTAATTGACGTAGGCTAAATTCCTATTCATGGTGCGGGACGGACGTGCAACGGTTCATTCGATTATATCCCGCAAGGTGACAATCACCGGATTCGATTTGAGCAGCTATCGCCAGTGCATGCAGAAATGGAATCACGCCATCGAGCTAATGCACGAACAGTGCCGCGACATTGGCAAGGATCGATGCATGATGGTGAGTAGAGAAAGAGATAAGGAGAGAGGAAGAAGGAGAGCAGTAGTAGTAGTAGCCAGGTGAGGGCGGATGCTTGACAGACGACAGTTGACAGTGGACAGTTGACAGTTGTCAGCTGGACATGTGGCACACAGACACACACACAAACAGAGAGAGTAAAAGTTAGTTAATTTTTAATGGATGCTAGAATGCTAGGATGCTAGCTCATTTTATTTTTATTTAATTTATTTACAATTGAAATTATTTTAAACTGCACGAATTT